AAACAGCAGGTACTCAGCCTCTGTGATCTGAAGCAAATAGTCAGGCATTACCTGGCATAGGATGGGCACAATGCAGACAGGCTGACAAAGCATCTAATGTTTTCTTATATGAAAATAAAAATAAAATAAAATAAAATAAAATAAAATAAAATAAAATAAAATAAAATAAAATAAAATAAAATAAAATAAAATAAAGATTATGAACTCCTGCTGACAAGTTTGCAAAACTCCTGGATCCTATAACTGGTAATATGTTCCAAGCATTAATTAAGGGAACTTGAAAGTATATGAACAGTATATGAATTCATCTGCAAAGTGACCCAGTAACTTGCTAAGGAGACAAAAGTAGCAAGAGGACCACAGCGTCCATCTAGGACCCTGATATGTGAAGTAGGCAGGGACAAATGGAGTTATCCTAACATGTCAGTGGTGGGAATAAATAGGCCACTATAACTATGGTGATTTCAAGGCCACAGGCAACCCAATATCACATGCAGATCGACTGCTATTGCCCAAAATTTCAAAAAATACTTGGGAAGTTCAGGCACATAATCATACTACACCAGATAAGCAGGTATTGCTCTCAGATGAGTGGCAACACTGGCCATATTTGCCCTCTTAGCTTGCACAATATCAGGCAACAAACTTGGTTTAACAGTCACTTGTGGTGAATTTAGCTTAAATTGCTTCGTGTTGCAGCTAGATTCTCAGCTCAGAACGTGTAGCCAGTTTGCAAGTCCTCAAAGTCCAGCTGAGTCACTGCTGTACTCAGGAAGTCAGTCACCTGCTCACGTCTGAAAGGGTGTCTGAGTGGACAGGAAAAGAAAAGGAAATGTCTCAAAAATTCAGCAGGCTGTTGAACTTCCCCAGACATTCTGTTGGAAAAGACAATTTATTTAAACCACAAGAAAAGAACTTAAAAACCCAAATGAAGGATGGCATTGAGATCCTTTTGCTTCAAAAGATACCACAAACACATTGCTTCCTGGGAATGGTTAGGGAACATCTCGTACAGCAACCATATGGTATTCCCTGACTGGAGTGGAAGCCACAAAACTAATAACGGAAAGGCTCCTTACTGCAATGTCTTAGTGCCTCTAACATTTGCATGTGCTGCTTCCCATATGTAACAGGTATAGTAATTTCACACTTGATCAGCCTCAAAGATGCATTGCTCTTGGTTTGAGGTCTTGTATCTCTGAAGATCAGAACCACATTCAGATTGAGAGAGAGACTTTGCAGCTAGCTGGGGGTGTTAGGCAGCTTCACCACTGTCCGTCTGAGCAGTGATGGACTCCAGTTGCAGATCATTTAACTGCTAGTTAAAAGCAAGGAGTGCCAGCAATGCAGAAACTCTGCAGCTAGCTGGGGGTGTTAGACAGCTTCACCACTGTCTGAGCAGTGATGGGCTCTAGCTGCAGATCATTTAACTGCTAGCTAAAAGCAAGGAGTGCCAGCAATGCAGATTGCTTGTCATGCCTGTGATTATAAGTGACAGGTAAGGACGTGTTGGTGGAAGCAGAGCCTGTCTCTCCAATGGTACAGACCAAGCATCACCCAAATGGTGCCACTCAAAACTAAACATAGTCTGGTCTACCTAAGGTGTCTCCTGTTGTAGTAAAATACAGATATTGGTGTACGCAAGAGAAGGAAACAAAACCAAAAGCTAATGTCCAAGGCAGTTTGATCAAAAGCAGTCTACATCAGAGTCGGTAATATGTGTCATCAGATGGCATATTCCCCAAAGCCAAGGTCACATGAATACCCCAGAACCATGCAAAAGCTATTAGGGAAGAACTGTGTCAGGTAACCAGGGACAAATACACAGCTAGAAGAAGTGATTAATCAGTGTCAAGATAGTCACTAACTGTGGCAGCTACTCCATATGGACTATGTCAGGTCAGTTAGGAGCCCTACATTTCACTGCAGCTGATGTTTAATCTAAATGGTTGGGAGGATTTCACACAGATGGTGGAGGCATCTGGACTCGCTTGCCAAGTGTTCATGGACAGTGAGCGAGGATGGATCTCCCTCCGCCCCTGGATGGCTGGTACCAAAGATGCCCAGCAATGTCACGCCGTTTGCCACGGATGAATCCCTGTCACACCCCGCTGTCCCCTGAGCTGAGGATGCCAGTGGTGCAGGGGTGTTCACAGTGCCTTGGCACGGGCCGCAGCGGGTTCAGAAGGGCTACAGCTGCCTTTCCGCAGCCTTGAGGAGGGTGGATTTATCAGCTCAGACCGATGCTCGTTTTTGCTACTCAGGCAAGAGTATGACTCATTTTCCTTTTCTTTCCCCCTCCATTACATCCTTATTATGGTATCTCATAGCCTAATTTACATATGTTTTGTATTACTGTAGTTTTGTTCCCATTCTACTTATTCCACCCCCTTTCTCCCAGTTCTCTTCATAAGGAATCTGCTGTAGGGCAAGGATTTCTCCAGTCTATCTAAGAAATATATTTAGGATCTGAAGGACTTTAGATCACAGACTCTCTGTGGACCTGGATGCCAGGGGAGCTACCTGTTCCACTGTAAACCACACATCAGACATGTTGCATTTGGGATTCAGAGACACCACTGAAGTGTGGTTAAACACTAAATCCCTACTGCAGAGCTCCCATGCTTTGGAAACATTTGGAACAAGAAGCAGCTGTTAATGAACTGTGGTCACTTAGGAGGATTACAGAACCTTGTTTTAAGGGAAAACACATCAGCCATTTCTCAAACATAAAGTCAAAAAGTTGGGTAATAGATCTGCTTGCTACAAGTAGTGAGATCATTGCCACAGATAACATCCAATGCTAAGGCTCTCTGGCCTCCTTTTTATGCTCTCACTGCCATGATTTGCCACTATGTGAAAGGAAGATGTTGCAACAAGTGCCACAGAAAGTATGGAGACAGTCCCTGAAAGTTGTCGTAGAGTTCTCGTACGTCACCCAGATAGAAAATGTAAACCATTTCTTGGACTTAGTTCACAGTATATTTTACACATCAACTCTTGGACATTTAACATTGTCAAGATATTTTACTCTACCAGGAGTGGAAGTCCAGGAGTACTAGTCATCCAAACAGTTGGGAGTCCAATTCCACTCCTGTCGAATTCGACTCCAGTCCTGCTTACAAAGCACTTACAAAATACTAGTCGAGCAAAACCCATATGTTTGTGTGCATTTAAAGAAACTGTTTTTTTTTTTGTTTTGTTTTATTTTTTTGGAATCTGGCAGAGCCTGTGTGGTTATTATGTGCTATGTAGATAGCAAAGACTTATAAATGTGTAGAACAAAACCTGAAGCCAGTGTTGAGCTGGTACAAGAAAACTTAACTGAAACAGTTACCTGCCTTTGCTCCGTTCAGTTCTGTTCGCATGTGAAAGAATATTAGGTCATCTCCTTTTATCCTTCAAGTGACTTCTTCATCGAGGTAGCTGAACAGCTGGGCATCCAGTTCTTCTGCTAGTCTCCTAGTACAAAGCAGCTTTGGGAAGTTTCAGTGGAGATTTTTCTTTCAGGAATTGTGTACACCAACCAGAGCAAAAACATTTCAGCTCCAGCTAGGAAGAAGCTTGCCAAAAGACAGTAACAGTGGAAGCTGCATGTAGGCTATTAATGCTTTGCAGATCATGAGATAACATGGGGTTACACAGCAACTTCAGGAGACAAAACTAAAACACTGGAAGAGAAGTTACCCAGGAAGAGGAGTATCATGAAGAGCACAGGAAGTGCCCCGAGAGCCCAGCCACAGCAAACCAGAGAGCAGGAGGAAATGGGAGGGAAATTTTGTCTATGGTGGAAGTTATGAGCATGGGTACTGTGCTAATGTTCCCACACACCAAATACTGCTGCTATCAGACAGATGCAGCCTGATGTAAATTAAGCCAACCCGACTCTTAAGAGTATGTCTTCAAAGAGTTACTCAGGAAGATCCTTCACCTCAATGGGCATCCAACTGAAGAGTTTGCAAAGTAGGTATTGCATCAATATAGCTATCATTTTAATGCCACAACTTGGTTTTTGTTGCTGTTTTTTTCTCTCTCCAGTTAGAGACAGCCTTTAAGTGATTCAGTGACTGAGGTGGACATGGGATGATAGCAGGGTAGGAAGAAAATGACAATGAGAGAAGCAAAGAAAAGGAAATACAGCCTAACCACGTCCTAGAAGGAGGCTGTGACCTATGATCAAAGGGTTGGCTTCTGACCCAAAATACAGGGTGCCAGAAGTGGACTTTGAACAGGAGTCAGCCACAAACACAGTGGAAGTTGGAAGGGACTTCTTATGTGTGGAAGATCTTTAGCACACAGTGGACCTGGCAGGCTGGCTTCATGCTCATAACTGGCTGGAAGAAACATCCTGAGCTACAGGGAGCATGAAATGTGGTTGTGAAGTCATGAAAAGATCTCAGAGGCAATGCTGATGCAATTCTCACTTGTCCTACCAGAAATCGCCCTCACATGACATTGCCAGCCAGAAACACTCCTTGAAATCAGAAACATTTTTATTCTCAAACAGAAAAAAATATAAATCCCACTTCCTTAGTGTTTCCTACAGACATAACATTTCCCAACAATTAGTAAAACGTTGAAATCCTTGAATGTTCAGCTCAGTCCTTTTCCAAACTGCTGGGTCTGATTCTCACTCCAAGCTGCTTAGGAGTTTCAAATCTCTAGGCACACAATGCACTGTCACCCTCCTCCCTTACCCAGGGGCTGGGGACCAGCTGGGAAACCATCCCAGTTTGGTGCTTTATACAAATAACCAACAAGAAAATGACAGCCTGCTCCAAAAGAGGAGGAAAAAGAAAACCATTGCCTGACACTTCATCCTCCACTATGGCAGGCAGTAGTGAGAGCTGGAATGCAACAGGGGAAAGGACAAGCTCTGAATCCCAGGGCTCATTTCCCACCCAACATCGAACAGGATGTTTCTGCTCAGAACAACCTGGAACAAGGGCAAAGCCCAACTGGGACCACCAGCAGTATCTGTAGGAGGGCAGCATGCAGCATCAGCGGTCCTGGGCCCGGGAGGAAGGCTTGCCAATGTCAGCAATCGCTCCCTGCTGGATCATTTTCAGCAGCCACTTTCTCTCAGCAGTGATGTTGTGCTGAAACAGCTGCAGACACAAGAGAGCCAAAGTTACGGGTTATTTCTTACAATGCTCCTCACGCTACCCAGAAGGCCATGGATCCCACCTGACTCAGCCTCCTCTGCAGCACTTCCACTGTTAGGGCTGGGCAGGACCCATGTCACCCAACAAGGACTGCCAAAACACACATGGAATGAGCCCATGTCGGTGCTCAAGGTCTTTTCTGGGAAGAAAACATTCCTTCTGGCATGTCCCAACGGGAACGTCCATGGGTAATGCTGCTGATAGCTACTACAGCTCCCAGCTATCTGCGTCCTAGCTCTGTCCGCTAAGACCGACTGTGAAGAGCACCTCATCCTGAAGGGGATGTGTTCGCTACCTGTTTTCGCAAGGGGCGACCCGTATTGTAATAATGTATTGGCGTAGCATTGTCATGGTTGCCAGGGTAACCAAAGCCTGCAATGTTGACCTCTTGGCACACATGGAGGGCTAAGTTCAAAGCAATGATTCCCGTGGTGGCATATCTCTGGGAAGAGAAAAGAGAGAACAGCTGTTTAGCATTTCAAACTCCTACTTTTACAATAGTGACATCAGCAACCAGCTGGGACCAATAGCTTCCCCCACACTTCACTTACTAAAAAAAAAAAAAATACATAAATAAAACAGGACAGATGCCTGGACAGAGTCCCTAGAACTCAAGCAAGCAGCATCTTATGAGAAGGTGCTGCAGAAAATAAGGGTCAAGGAGAATGTGGCCTCTGGGATGCTACAATAAAGCATTCAGCAGAAATCAAAAGGTTTCAGATGGAAGGAATCAGCACGCTTTTTGACAAAGTGACATCCATGATGGAGCCCATATAAGTTTTCTGCATCTATTTTTTTTACCATGTGCCTCTTTTAGGTGTATTCTCTACTGGAGACCTTCATATGGTGCCTAATCTCTAATCCAAGCATTAAATGCCTGTCCCTAGCCTATGTGTTACAAAAATGTTCTTTGTTTGTGTAAAGTTAACATGCCCATGTACAAACACACACTGCATTAAAAGCTTTGCAACTGAGCAGAACAGTAACCACGCTCACGGAGCAGTTGAACATGCTCTTGGTCCCCCAAGCCTAGCTGAGCACTTAACACTCTCCACCTGGATTGCCCCACTTAGCACCTTTAAAGCATTTTAGCAGAGAAATGTGCTTTTTAACAGCATTTCTACAGTATTCAGGAGACTTGGCATACAGTCTCAGTCCAGGACAAGAGTTACTGCATGACCTTGGAAAAGGTTATTTTGCCATACCAGACTTTAGAGTTTCTCTTGGATTTGTTGCAGATTTTAAATATCCTGGTGGTGCCTGGTAGGCTTAAAGTTAATTAAAGATTGCACAGCACCATCACAAAGATTGTCAAGACCAAAGACAAAGTATCATTAGATTCACTAATGAAATAACCCTCCACCATGGAGTGGATGGGAAATTTGTGTTCCAGAAGCACTGGGCATAAAAGCAAGCCTTAGGCCAGAATTCTGCTAGATTTGAGTGTTTTAAAGGAATGCCAACCCAAATTCCTCTCATTTTACACTAGCTAATTACCAGTAATGGTTTATAGACAGGAGCCTTGAAACCTATGTGAAAGGGCTTATATGACAAGCCTGCTTGTCACAACAGGGGGCCAGGCTATGTGATGTCTAGAACTCCGGCCAGAAGTGCAACTCTGAAGTGATTTGAATGCAGAATGGCTAAGGGTCACGGGGCAGAATGACAAGAATGGTGCACTAGTGCACAAGAATGGTGCACTAACACTGCAGTGCTGTGACAGGCCAGAAAACTCTTCTGTTTTTTGGTAGGAGCAGTGATCAAAACTTGTAATACCATGCTGTCAGGAAAGAGCGCGTTTACTAGGGAAAGGACTCGCTAATCTAATCAGCAGGCTTTCTTTCTTTCTCCATCTCTGCTGTCCAGGACTTCTCTCCATTCAAGCAGTGAGGTATTAGAGAAGACACAGAATACTGATAGTTATCCTTTTGCTTTCCAGGGTGAGATCATACCATACTCCAAATATTCAGCTTCAGGAGTTTGTACGTTGCTTCATAGATGACATACGGGTTGAGAATACGCAGGTAAGAGACATTCCCGTTCCATTCCCCAGGTGGCTGGCGCCAAAATCCCACCTTTGTCTGTAGAGAAAGGCAAAGAGAGAGAAAGAGACATTCAAGGCATGTCCATGCACACAAGACAGTGTCAAGATAAAGATTCAGCTACAATCTGTTGCTCTAGCTCTGTGCTCAGAACGACATACACTCTGGCAGAGCAAGGAAACTCCAGTTCTCTTCCACTTATGCCAGTGCAACTATCTGCAATGTGCTTGAGACTAGGGTGTTTCTAATTAATGAAAAATAAAGTCTCAGATCCACTGTGCAGCTCATTAAATATTTGAAGGACACATGACTATTAGAGCAATGAAACATATCATTCCAAGTAACTTGGTTTCAACTTGGTTTCAGCTTTCCCTCATTTAAGACATCTCACCTTATTCCTTGTTTTCAGCAGTACCTCCCTCAGCCAGATGAAATCTGCTGGTTTGAATGGGACAAACACCATCAGTGTCTCATTGTCATTGTTTTCCAGAGGGTTGGGAAGAGCTGATTCAGGGAAGAACAGACGGATGCTGGTTCTCTCACCCACATCTTTCTTATGCTTCTTTACTGGAGCATCATTTAACCTGAGAATCAAACGCAGAAGAGCAGGATTTGTCCCTGGAACAATTTCAAACCATGAAAGCAGCTGTCTGCTGTCAAGTGGAAGATGGGCCATGTGAACTCACATGAGGGAATGGATACACACTATGGTGCAACCTTATGACTTGGTTCCACAGAACTGAATACCTCACACATGCAGGAGTACTTCCTCCCCTTAACAAAAAGGCAGGCAGTGGTGTCAGAAAACTGCCAGTTTTCAGAGAGGGAACTGAGGCACACAGAAATTAAATGACTCTCCCAAGTTAAAGGAAATATGCATCTAAAGTTGAAATGCAATCAAAGATTTGGCATTGTCAGGCCTTGAACCAGTCCTACAACATCGGGATTACCAGCTGCTATTGAGTGGGGCACTGAAACTGGCTATCCAGGCCCCAGGGAACATAACTGTAAATAAGTATAATTTTTGAGTCCTGCAGTGACTTGCAATGAGCTGCAAGAAAGTCATTAGATTATCTGAGCTGATGGATCCTAGATGTTATGTTTGACAGGCAAGAAAGACACATGCACATTATCAGCCCCCAGGTTCTGTCTAAATGTTGGATTCTATTAAGAATTCAGTACCTTATGATAACATCGTGAGAATCGATCTTTTTCCCAAAGTGTTGGCCATAGATGGAGTAACCGTTGCCGACCACAATACACCTTTGGCACCTCAATCTGAGGAAAAAAGACTCCAAGAGATTAAGTCCTTCCCTTAAGTTTCTCCACCAGGTTAGAGGAGTATCCTTGAGGGCTTGTTTGATGCGCTCAGGTAACTTCCTGAGCAGTATGAGAGCAGAGAAGCCCTAGGATCCTAGTAGGATTCTAGCTCTGTCCCAGCCACATAGAGATGGAATTTATCTTAATGAGCAAAAGGCATTGGAGTGTCAACAACATGCTAATAAAGTTAACTGGAACCTGTAGTCAGCTAGAGAAGAGGGCAGACACAAGGCACAAAGGAAATGGAAAGAGAAAGTCAAGTAGGGATGCTCAGTAGATCAGTAGTTCTTAACTTGGAGGGTGAACCTCTGTTTGAGGTACAGAGTACACTAGGAAGAGACAGAAAAAGACACCACAGAAAATTTTATCTAATTGTGCTAGGACAGGAAAGAAGAGGGTTTCCAAGCTCAGAAGTCTTCCAATAGCTACAACAGGCAGTGTATTTCAGTTCCCCTCTCTCTGAATGCAGGCAGGCAGAACATAGGGATGGATATAACTTTGCAGGCCCTGGACTGCCATATTTGTGGTGGAGTTAGAACAAGAGAAAATGAATGGGACAGGGCAACACTGAGAACAGGGCATAACAGAAGTTAAACGGGGGAATAAGTGTGGATCTAGCAGCCTAAGTTAATCAATATGAGAACTTATTGAAAGAGTATATTTAAAAGGGAGAGAAAGAGAAACCCATTGAGAGATGAGGAGTGTCAGGAGGAGTGAGAGGCAGGAAGAGCTGTGAAATTGAGGAGTAAGAGAGAACTCTGAAAAGCTTCAGAAACCAAGTCTCTCAAACCACCTCCCTCACACTTCTACTCCCCCCCAGACCCATCCCCTGCCCAGTCTCCGTACCGCGCAAAAGATTCGGGCAACTCCTGCTCTGGAAGAAGCTGCAGTGTGGCAAAAGCAGAGAGAACTGAAAGATACGAAGTAGATGAAGGGTTATCTTCAAGGGTTAACAGTGGCCCCACCAGTACCAACAGGAGACTTGTTCTCTCAGGCTCTGAGAGCCAGGTTTCACCACTTCATAAAGAGCCAGGACGCTTTACATGGGACAGCATGATCAAATACTGTTCTCGTTACAGCCACCCCACCCAACGCTACCAACACAGACCCCCCCAAGGGCATGCTCTGCCCACTCTTTGGGGCAGGGATACCATCTAGACTAGCTGTTCTCCATTCATTTTGGAGAATGTTTGAACTTGGGAACTCTTTGTTCCCAAGAGTAATGATTCAGGAAAAAAAGGGCCCGATGTTGCCCTGTGGAGGAAGCACTGTGAATCCAACCAATCTGCACCCTGAGGTATATCTTCAGTTTAAGAAGTCGGTTACCACCCTGCTTTGTCAGAAGTTGCCACATATTGTATTTCCCCAATTGAATTTGCCCAGGCTATTTCAAGGCAAACAGGTTACCTCAGAGCAGCACTGCAAGGCGTTGCTCTGCATTACCTCACACTGAAAACAGCAAGGGACCCAACCCAATCAGTTATTCCCTCACAGTTGGTGTTTGTTAACTTCTGCAGTGGATCTTGCTCCATCCATAAGAGCATTTCTGTCAATCTTCCTCTTTGCACCCCACCTGGCATAGCTAAAAGTTGGAATTAAAGTACTATCTCCTTCCTCCCCTACCACCATGATGGAGTATGCCTCAAAGGCATCCCAACTATCCAGCCTAGCCCTGCTAAATGGACCCTGATTTATTTCCATCTCCTCTGCAGCACTCCAGGAAGAGGCTCTTCAGTTCACAGTGTCCATCCACAACATTACAGCACTGACAGCAGAGCGCTGTGATACCTGAGTTCCGTAGCCCAAAGGGAAGGGTATGGAACCACAGAACTCTTTCAAGATCACTTCTGAAAGGCCTGTCCATAAGCAGGTACAGGGATTTGCTGGTCAGGAAAGGCTTCCAATGAGGTTCAAACCTGCCAAGAGAGATTCAGAGTGCCAGTAGTTCAGGGAAGAGTAAAGCAGTCGCAAAGTATCAGACACAAGGACTAGGGCATTTGAAGCAGACTGAATGATGAAGCGCTTTGGAAAGCTACTGAGCTATTCTGAAATACTTCCCAGAAATGACCCACAACTTACAGTTCTTACGCTCACTGTTTCTAACGCACCCTCTGGGCAGCAGTGACAGTGTACAATTCCAGTTACGCTTCCACTTTTATCTACTCATTCACTTCACAACAAAACCCACCCTTCACTGTGCACGGAGCAGTTCAACAGTGCATCTCTTCCTCTCTGACTGCCCTTCAGATGACATTTTACACATGCATCTGTATTGCACCATTCTGCTGACTTGCTTGTAACAGAGCTAAGATGCTATTGTGCAACATTAGCTCAAACTAATGCTGCTTCCTCTCCTGCATATCTGCATCTAAACCCCAGGCTGCCAGCCCCCACTCATCAGCAGCCACTGAGAGCTCAGTCGTCTCCCACCAAAAATCCCCAGACAAAAACCATAATTGACAAACCTTCCAAGAAAAGGTTTTCTCCACACAAAGCGTCTCCTGCAAGCACCAAGGCGCTTCCTGTGAAAGACACCGAGCTCATTTCCAACCTTGTAAAGCAGTCCAGGATGCCATGATACAGGAGGGATTTGAGTTCCTGACCATGTCTGTCCATGTACAGGCCCCCTCCAAAGAACATGCAAAGAGAGTCTACCTAATACATCGCCAGCCCTATCACTACTGTTTCATCCTGCAGTTTTGGTCTGCCGTACCCTGGATTCACTGCCAGCAGGACACAGTCCTCCAAGCCTCCAAGGACTCATTCTGGGGGAGCTGTTTCTTATGCAGATGAGAAACATCTATGTCACCTTAGGAAAAGGATTGCCTCTTCTTTCCACAGTGATGAATCGTTCCTCTTCCATGTGCCCCATCTTTTGCCCAGACCACAGTAGCACTGAAGTAGGAAAAGGGAAGAAGAAAAGATAACTTACTCTGCCTGGCTTTCACCTGACTTCATCGCATAGTGTAGAGTCTGCACGTACAGACCTGCTGAAGGCAAAGGAGAGGCTGAAACAGGCCACACAGCTACATGGCAATATGACTGCAGGTAGAGCCATCCCACTGCACAGCCCACAGGATCTCTCCCTCCGGGCAGCATCACTGGAGCCTCTCCAGCCATCGGACCTGAAGACCATCCCGTGTCCCAACGGGTAAGGATAACTCGCCAGCTCTAAGCCTCACAGTGCCCCACAATCATTCATGTCAGTCTTCTTAGGATGTTACAAGGAACAGGGGACTGCGAGGACCTTCAAGCAGCCTGTTACATGAGGCGATCACTTATTGCACAAACAGGCAGCAAGATGCAGCAAGAGCTGGCATGGTGCTGGTATCAAACCCAGAAGGCTGAGGACAGCACAGACTAACAGCAGTAAGAAGAAAGGTATATGCAAGAGAAATCCTCCAGGCCTGGCCAGGGCTGCTGCTTGGCCTGAAATCAAGGGATTCATGCCAGACATAACAACATCTAAAATCACCTTAATAACACAGACATTAGCTTGTCTTAGTTGTTCTTCACTTTGAGCCAGGTGCTATACTGATTCGGAGGTACAGTCCAGATTTCCCTGAGGGCTCTGTGCCCTCATTGATGAATTTGGGTCTGTGGCTGCAGAGGGAAAAGGCTTCTCTACCGTTTACACCAGCCTATCATTTGCTGGACTAGACCCTGACCAGAAAGAAGGCATTTAGGAAAGGGAAATTATAACCCCAAAGAGCTGAAGTGCTGCCCATGTGCTCATGCAAAAGGGAGGACAGGATATACAGATTATCCAGTGTTAGCTTTGCTCTTTCTTCGGGGCATTTAAAAATTAGTAAAGAGATTGTTCTGATTGGAGATATAGACTTCTGATTTTTCTCAGCATTTTCTGTATTGGACCATGAAGTCACTACATTACTGTGCACCATGGTCACCCTTTCCTTTTTCATGAAAATGACAATAGTTGCATCCTCGTCATTAAGCAGCAATTATTTTTCCTGGGACAAACAATCAGCCTTTCTAATGATGGTATGAAATTAGAATTGGTTTTCTTTCTGGAGGGAGATCCCAAGCAGTTACACACGCTCATACAGGTGTTGTCTCAGTGGGTCTGCACCGGACCTTCGGCACACACCACACAGAAGCTTTCATCAGGCCAGTTACTGCTGGGTTGCTACACACAACATAGGCAAACACCCACCTTTGGACCTTAATCCTGCAAGAGCACAGCAGCATTTATCCAAAGGTGACTGCTAGACCTCCCACACACGCACAGAGGGTTTTAATTTGTGTATCACATACACACACAGAAGCAGATTAACCCTCTTTCAGCCTCCCACAGCCCTGTGCACATAGACCATTGTGGATGTCAGCCTCGAACTGGTGTTTTAAAGTATGAACACTTTTGAAAGAAGTTATTCTACAAACATCACCTTATCGTCCTTGCTACAGAGATAGCATTTGCAGGAGTATGCAGGGGAGAATTCAGTGAATCACCACTTGATTGTTTTACAGTTGTGTAAAACAGTAAAGAGATTTTTACACTTCGGAAAAAAAGCAGTCACCTTTTGGATGCTTTTCTTCTCTCCATGCTCCCAATGGCATACAAGATGACTTAATTTTCTAAAAATACACTCTAAACAAGCACAGCTAAAGCCTCTCGGAAGAAGTTTTGCTTTTATTAATGACAAATTCAAGAGCAATATCTGTGCCAGGAGCAGATCCACAGGAGAACAGGACAGTTCCACATAGGGGAAACTGCTTGTGGTGGGATTGTTTGCAGGATGGGTCTCAATATTTGGAAAACACAATCAGTACAGAGATACACAACTGAAACAGCAGTGCAACTCTGGCTTCTAGTCTGCTTGCTAATCCTTCCTGGAAATGAGGATGGCAACAGCCAGCATAAACAACCTGCATAAACCAAGGGAAACAGGAGGGAAATAGCCCCTTCTCAACCACCTTTTCTTGTCGGGAACACATAAAAGTCCAAAAAATGCCCCTTATCTCAGTTTTTAGGGAGACCTAGGGCTGTGGATGTCTGATTTATGGACACCTATCTCCTCCCTCCACTCTTCCATCACCTTCCATTTTTGGAACCAGTCTCCAGTGTAGACACTGTGGGGCTGGAGGAGCTTCTCCCTCTCTACAGCTCATAGCACGACAAGGTCCCAGGGCTCAGCCTGGATCAAAGTTTTCTTACCCACAAACAGCAAGATCAACAGTTTTTGCCACTGGAAACAAGCCAAGGAGAGTTTTCGCACTAGGGATCTGGTCTCCATGCTGTCTCCATACACATTCTGAAAAAAAAAAAAAAAAAAAAGAGAGAAAATTCATCAATCCAAACAGGGGTGATTAGGAGTTGTGCCATAAGGCTTTGTCCAGAGTTTTCTCAGAGACAGACTGACCCACAGGCCTAGCCTTCCAGACGTCATCCTCAGTCCATATAGCCCGGGTAGCTACCACACACTTTGCCAGCCCACTAAGACCCCTGTGCAAAGAGAACAGCCATGCTGAGCCAAGTTCTTCACTCACCCCAATCCCAGGTGCTCCAGCCAGTTAAGGCACTGGATAAACCGGCACATCCCTCGGGAGACAGATGTCCAGGTGATCTTCTGCAGGTCACCACAGGAAAGCTCCCCCTTGCTTCAAACCTCAGAGGTGACCTCTGGACCTACCACAGTGACAAGGACAGTGCACCACCCACAGCTACAGCATCCCCACTCAGCCCTGGCAAGTGCCCAGCATCAGCCTCACTGCCACCTGCCTGCACAAGATGCTGTGGCTGCAGCTAGCAGCCCACGAAGCGCCAGGAGCAGCTTTCACAGGGACATTCCCTTCCTAAGGCCTTACAGTTTGTTCCTCTGACAACAGCAAATGCAGTCCACAAAGCACTGGTTTGCCTGCAAAGCAATAAAGACCCGTGATAAATCCTCATAAGCCTGGGAGTTTGTAGTGTTTAGGTGCTTGAGTTTGACTGACAGCTTTAATTATATAGGGACAGCTCTGCAGATCACATAGACAATTGCTAGCTCAGGATGGTTAAAAAAAAGGAATAATATCCTACTGTCTTGAAGGGATGGTGCGGAAAGTAAGGGCTCAGCTTACCCATCTGATGGCAATCATCTAATTATCCTCCATGAGCAGGGGATAGAATCCATGCTCAGCTGGGGAAAGCACTCCGCAGTGCTTTCAGTTTCCTGTCTTCCCCCTATCCTCTGGCCTGAAACTTTCCCTTTGCAAGGCCAGTTAATTAACCTGGGCAGCTCTTCTTGCTCAGTGACACACAGCTGAAGCACGTTTGCCCCTGAAGCCCGAGGCTGGTGCCTGCTGCACACCTGGGCTAGGCAGTGGAGCTCTGGTGATCAGGGCAGCACCTGCGATGCGTTAAAAGAGAGGTCATGATTGGCCTCATGTGCTTTGGGAAAGGAGGGGTTTTTTATTTTTTATTTTTATTTTTTTATTATTATTTTTTTCGTTCTTCTTTCTCCTTTCTCCCCTCCTCTTCTTCTCCCTCTTCCTTCTCCTTCAGGGAGAAGCTTTAGGGGAAGGAATGGGGATTGTTTATGAAAAGATCTTACGGGTTTAGGGAGGCTCTGAGTGCAGGCTCACTCCAGGTACATGAGCGTGTCGTGTCTGTGGGTCTCTATGTCTCCTTCTCGGGCTGCATCCTGGCTTCCTGCACTTAATAACACAAGGAAGAGAAGAGCTCTCTTTCTTACTCTTCTTCCTTGCAGAATCACATGGGGCTTCCAGTTAAAAATGGGACAAGAGGTTCAAGGAAGGCCTCTGGTTGCTCAGTGGAAATGCACTGAGCTGCTTCTGGGTTTCCAGATTCCTTGTGTTTAGCACAGCAATCACCGCACGTGCGCATGCTCCAAAGTGCTTCTCCCTGCCCTATTCTGCTTTTCTTAAGCCTTTCAGGTTTATTTTTTGCAGAAGCTCTTTCTTTTTCTGTGTGATACTTTTGCTTTTCCCTCTTAATTAAAGCATTTGT